GGCAGCCCAGGGACAGGATGGTGCTAGGCCCTGTCTTTGCGGGTGCACGGGTGCGGTCAGCTGTGTGGGCAGCTGGAGCTCACTCCCAGGCCCTCCTGCCTTTTCCTTGGAAAAAACTCATTTCTTCTCTGTGGCCTTGCGGCAGCCATGTTTCCTCAGGTCCTCCCCATCGGAGGCCTCTGTCCTTTGGAGGATCACCTCTGGGGCGTTGAGTGCGTTGGTCAGGGCTCAGGCAGGAGGGGCCCTAATTGTTTCTGAGTCACGGCGCTTTTGTTGTTGTTTAAGAGAACAGCTTGTCAAAACAAGACGCCAGCCGGACTGAGGTGGTTTCTAAGAAGTGGCTTCACAGCTGTTTCCCATTTGTCATCTTTATGAGCACAAAGCGTGCAGTGTTTACAGCCGAGCTTTGCACATTGTCAGATTTTGCCAGCACCCTCGAGAAGTGCAAAAGCCCGGCTTCCTCGCCTTAGGCTGTCCTGGCTGTCTGGAGAACATTCATTCCCCAAGGCCAAGCCTGCTTTGGGACTGGGCTCTGCCCTGCTGGGTGGCCCGGTCCATCTCTGACGGAGGAAGTGACCTCCCTATGGCGGTGGGAGCCATGGCAGTGAGCAGGACAGGCGGCTGTCTCTGCACCCAGGGACCTTGTCACCAGAACACACACGTTCTCTTGGCTTTGGGGACGGGGCATCTATGCTCATTCGAACACATCTGGGGGCCCTGCAGCATCTCCCGGCAGCCTGGAGGAGTTGGGAGGTGTCGCCCTGCCTCTCCCTCTGACCTGGAGAGGTGAATGACACCTCGGCTGCTGCTCGGGCCTGTGTGTTGAGGGCTCAGCGCCGGCTGGATCCAGGCTGCGGCCCACAGCAGCAGGTCCCCTCCCTTGGTGCCAGCAGTCTCTGGGGTCTCTGGGCAGGGGGCATGTCCTGGGGCTTAGGTTGAAATGTCTCTCTTAGGCAGTGGGCACATCAAAGAGGTTATCGTGGCTGCTGAGGCAGAGCCGGGGGACAGCGAGATGGCCGAGGCCCCGGGCAGCCCCCACCCTCAGGGGCTGGGGCTCGCAGGCGACGGCGAGCAGGCCCAGGTGAAGCTCCTGGTGAACAAGGACGGCCGCTACGTATGTGCGCTGTGCCACAAGACCTTCAAGACGGTGAGTTGGTGTTCAGGGAGCCAGCGTGTGGGCAGCAGGCCCCATCCTGCCCCCCTGGGAGGGCCCTGAGCTGCCTTGCCCTCCCCCACAGGGCAGCATCCTCAAGGCCCACATGGTCACTCACAGCAGCCGCAAGGACCACGAGTGCAAGCTCTGCGGGGCCTCCTTCCGCACCAAGGGCTCGCTCATCCGGCACCACCGGCGGCACACGGGTGAGCTGGCCGCGCCTTGGGCCGGAGCCCTGCAGCACCCTGACGCTGGCCCTGGGGTGCCCCAGCCTCAAGTTCCCCAGCTTCAGGGGAGGAGGCAGGGCCCCTGCCTGCGTTCGCCTCGTCCTCTTGTCACCAGCCTGCCGGGGCTGCCCGGGGCTGACTGGGGTTCTCTCTGCAGATGAGCGCCCCTACAAGTGCTCCAAGTGTGGGAAGAGCTTCCGGGAGTCGGGTGCGCTGACCCGGCACCTCAAGTCTCTCACCCCCTGCACGGAGAAGATCCGCTTCAGTGTGAGCAAGGACGCGGCCGTCGGCAAAGAGGATGCGCCTGCAGGTTAGTGTGATGTGGGCAGCTGCCTAGTCCCAGGGGCTGGCTGTGGAACCAGCTGCCACTGGGGTGTGAGAGATCTTCACTCCCTCACTCTGCCTTGAAGGGTCTGGAGCTGGAACTGCAGCCTTGGGGACAGTCACATCACCGGTGACAGGCGAGCCCCTAGAGACCTCACCTGTGATTCACCTGGTGACAGATGCCAAGGGCACCGTCATCCACGAAGTCCACGTCCAGATGCAGGAGCTGCCCCTGGGCATGAAAGCCCTGGCCCCAGAGGTGGGGGCTGGCAGGGGAGCCCCAGAGGGCAGCTCTGTCTTCTGTCCGCTCAGTGCCAGTCTTGGTTCTGGGCACTAGCTCCAAGGGTCTGGGCCAGGCAGGCGAGGGCTGGGCTTCCCGTAGGGAGAGCAGGGCCAGTGGGAGTGACATGGGGCTCCAAGGGTTTACACAAGGCCCCTGGCGTGGGTCTGCCCCATGGGGTGGTTGAGGGTGGGTGCCGGATGCGAGGCTGCTTGGCCAGCTTCCTCTCTCTGCCTCCCCTGCAGCCCCCCATCTCCCAGGAGCTCCCCTGCTCCAGCGAGGGCAGCCGTGAGAACCTGTTGCACCAGGCCATGCAGAACTCTGGCATCGTCCTTGAGCGCGCTGCGGGGGAGGAGGGTGCCCTGGAGCCAGCCCCTGCTGCCAGGTCCAGTCCCCAGCCCCTGGCAGAGGCAGCCCCGCAGCTGCCAGTACTGGAAGTGCAGCCGCTGGAGACAGTAGGTGCCACCTGCAGGCCCCCTCCCCTGGGCTGGACCCCGAGGGCTGTCCCCATGCTGGCCTTTGCACTTCCTACAGTGGCTTTCTGCGGTGACTTTGTCCATTGATCTGTTTACTACCTTCCCTGGGGCTGCGAGGGAGCCTGCCAGGGTGGGGCCCACGGTTGGGTCCTTGGCACTGCCAGGGCACAGCCTCTCCCGGGTGCTGGAGGCCTTCCTGTGGTTCCCTAGCAGGTGGCCAGCGAGGCGTCCGTGGTGCCCAGGACCCACCCATGTCCTCAGTGCAGTGAGACCTTCCCGACAGCAGCCACCCTGGAGGCCCACAAGAGGGGCCACACCGGTGGGTGATGGGTGGGTGTATGGCCCATGGCAGTGGATGGCCTGTAGGTGGCCGGGGTGCCTGTGGGTGTCCAGCGGGGAGCCAGGGGAGCTGTGGGCAGGTGGCAGGTGGCCGGGCAGGTCTGCAGGTGGTGGGCCTGGCCTGATGTTGTGTGTGGCTGCAGGACCGAGGCCATTCACCTGCATGCAGTGTGGCAAGGCCTTCCCCAAGGCCTACCTGCTCAAGAAGCACCAGGAGGTGCACGTGCGTGAGCGCCGCTTCCGCTGCGGGGACTGCGGGAAGCTGTACAAGACCATTGCCCATGTGCGTGGCCACCGACGCGTCCACTCAGACGAGCGGCCCTACCCTTGTCCCGAGTGCGGCAAGCGCTACAAGACCAAGGTAAGCCTCTGGCCCCAGGACCCTGGCGCCTGACCCCATCCTCCTGCTCCCTGGCCCTGGCCCAGGTGCACCCCCTTTGCTGCGTTCACCTTGCTCCGTCTTGACCCTGGGCCCAGAAGTGGGAGGGGAGAGCTGTAGTCTGTTGTGGCTGAAGCCAGGCCGGCACTGAGAGGTGTCCCCACAGAACGCGCAGCAGGTGCACTTCCGGACACACCTGGAGGAGAAGCCACACGTGTGCCAGTTCTGCAGCCGGGGCTTCCGAGAGAAGGGCTCACTGGTGCGGCATGTGCGGCACCACACGGGCGAGAAGCCTTTCAAGTGCTACAAGTGTGGCCGCGGCTTCGCGGAGCACGGCACGCTGAACCGGCACCTGCGCACCAAAGGTCTGGTCCAGCGGAGGTGGGAGCAGGAGCGGGAGAGGGCTGGGGCTGGCCAAGCCCTGACAGAGTCCCCCCTTGCAGGGGGCTGTCTGCTGGAGGTGGAGGAGTTGCTGGTATCCGAGGAGAGCCCTGCGGCAGCCACCACTGTCCTCGCGGAGGACCCGCACACGGTGTTGGTGGAGTTCTCGTCTGTGGTGGCCGACACCCAGGAGTATATCATCGAGGTGGGTGTGAAGCCCTGGGGCTGGGATGGGACCCTGGGGCTGCCAAAGCTGACCTCTGCCTGTTTGCCCATCTGCCCAGGCCACTGCGGATGATGCGGAAACCAGCGAGGCCACGGAGATCATTGAGGGCACCCAGACGGAGGTGAGGGGTGGGGCAGGCAGGGGCGGGGAGGCTCCCTGGCGCAGCGGCTCTCGCTGAGCTGTGGCCCTGCAGGTGGACAGCCACATCATGAAAGTGGTGCAGCAGATCGTGCACCAGGCCAGCGCCGGCCACCAGATCATCGTGCAGAACGTCACCATGGACGAGGAGACAGCGCTGGGCCCAGAGGCGGCTGCCGCTGACACCATCACCATCGCCACTCCCGAAAGCCTGACGGAGCAGGTGGCCATGACACTGGCCTCGGCCATCAGTGAGGGCACTGTACTCGCTGCCCGAGCAGGGGCAAGTGGCACTGAACAGGCCACTGTGACCATGGTGTCATCAGAGGACATCGAGATCCTGGAGCATGCGGGCGAGCTGGTCATCGCCTCGCCGGAGGGCCAGCTGGAGGTGCAGACGGTCATCGTCTAGCATGGGGCCTGTGGGGACCCAGCAGGGCAGGGACAGGGCTGAGGACTCTGAGCGCCCCACTCATGCCTGCCTGGTAGAGAAGATGGCACAGAATGGCGGTGCCCTGAGATGGGCAGTGTACATAAGACTTTCTTGTTGCTTTACAATAAAACATGAGAACCTGCAGCTTGTGATGTTGTTGCAGCAGCAGCCTCCACGGCTGGTGCCACTACCTTTGCCTGGGGCCTGGCAGCAACACCTGCTTCCCAGGCCACCCCTAAACTCATGTGCCTGGCCGCCCCACCCAGGAGCTCCTGCCAGCCTTGGTGGCGCCCTGGTGGCGTGTGGGTGTCATTGGCATGTTGACCAACAACCTCCTGCCCTGCCCAGTTGGAGTCATGCCCCTGGCCACCTGAGGCATGCAGGGTGGGTGGGAGGGCCAGGGATGGGGACAGAGAGACCCGGGAGCCTTGGCCTCTGTCGCAGGGTGAGCAGGTGGTGCAGCAGCAAGAGATGCTCTGCTGCAGTACGGCGGGTCCTTCCTGCGCTGCCTTTCTTTCCCTGACAGGATTCTGCTCAGGGAGGCAGAGTCTAGGTGACCTAGTTTCTAGGGGCAGGACAAGAACACTGCCAGGACTGGGATGTGGTGGTCGCCGTCTACCTCCATCCTAGGGGGCCGACGGGCTTCTGGGATGGTTCTGGGAAAGGCCTGGGGTACCAGAGCCAGCTAAGGCAGGTCTCCCACCCCTTACCCTGGGGGTCTCCATGGGAATGAGAGCCAGGAATTCAGGAATTCATCACCCAGCTCGGTCGAGGGGGCGGGACCCAGTGCAGCCTGGCCCCTCCCTGAATCAAGACCTCAAATACTGGCGGCCCCTGCCCTGGTGCCAGAGCTGCTGCCAGATAGATAGAGTCAGCGCAGTCCTGTGTCGGGTGTGCCCCCAGCCTAGACCAGGATCTCCATTCCTCCAGGACCCCTGAGCCTTGGGCCGCAGCGCCCACATCCCAGGTGAGTCTCCTGGCTGCGCCGAACTAGGGCTGGATGGGCTGGGCCCTCTATTCGGGCTGCGGCTTCTCGCGCAGTGGGAAGGCAGAGGTCGCTGAGAGCCCAGCAGTGCCCTGGGAGCCTGCAGAGAGCCGGGGCAGATGCTGCTTAGCACTGGCCGGCACGCGGCGGCCGCGGAGGAGAGGGGTGGGTCGGTGGGTCTGACAACGGGTCTGCGTAGGCGGCCGCGTCTGTCCCTCCCCGCCCCGCACTCCCCTCCATGGGCTGGCCCCGGGCTCTTCTGGCCACGCTCTGGGCGCTGGAAGCCGCCGGGGCCGCCACGCTGCGCATCGGAGCCTTCAACATCCAGAGCTTCGGGGACAGCAAAGTGTCGGATCCGGATTGCGGCAGCATTATCGCGAAGGTGGGGCCCGGGCCGGGGCAGGGCGGGGTTTGGAGGTGCTGACCGCGCTGACCCCCCACCCTCCACTCCTCCCCAGATCCTGGCTGGCTATGACCTCGCGCTGGTGCAGGAGGTTCGAGACCCGGACCTTAGCGCCGTGTCCGCGCTCATGGAGCTGATCAACAGGTGCGATGGGTAGGGCCCCTCGTCGCGACCGCCGGCTGGGATCTTGCCCCAGCGCGGCACCTTGACCCCGGACCGGCCCGTGTCTCCGCAGCGTGTCCGAGCACGAGTACAGCTTTGTAAGCAGCCAGCCCCTGGGCCGGGACCAGTACAAGGAGATGTACCTGTTCGTGTACAGGTGAGGGGGGCGCGCAGGGAGGGGCACGCGGGGCGGAGGAGGTGGGGGGCTCAGCGGGACCCCCATCTCCTAGGAAGGACGCTGTATCGGTCGTGGACACCTACCAGTACCCGGACCCGGAGGACGCATTCAGCCGCGAGCCCTTCGTCGTCAAGTTCGCCGCCGCGGGCCTAGGTGAGCGCGCCCCGCCCCTCCCCTTCCGCCGGCCCCACCCCTCCCCTCCTGCCGCCCCTGACGCCCCCGCCCCTTCCCGCAGCTGCGCGGGACTTGGTGCTGATCCCCCTGCACGCGGCGCCTCACCAAGCGGTGGCGGAGATCGATGCGCTCTACGACGTGTACCTGGACGTGATTGACAAGTGGGGCACGGACGTAAGCCCACCCCTCGGTCCCGGGGTCCCTGCCGGCACGCCCCGGGGTCTGGGCCATGAGGGCGGGGCCTCGCGGCTTGCGGGCGGCTCAGACCCGGCTGCGCGGCGCCCCCAGGACTTGCTGTTCCTTGGCGACTTCAACGCGGACTGCAGCTACGTGCGGGCACAGGACTGGGCCGCCATCCGTCTGAGGAGCAGTGAGATCTTCAAGTGGCTCATCCCCGACAGCGCCGACACCACAGTGGGCAATTCGGACTGCGCCTACGACCGCATCGTGGCCTGCGGCGCCCGCCTGCGCCGGAGCCTGAAGCCCCAGTCCGCCACCGTGCACGACTTCCAGAGGGAATTCCACCTGGACCAGGCTCAGGCAAGTGGGCCGTGGGGTAGCGCGGGTCCTGGGTTCCCACCACCCTGGCACACGCAGGCAGCAGGGAAGAGGCCAGCGCCAAAGCCAGCCCACCTCAGCTCCCCTTCCTGCACCAGGGCTGATTTCCAAGGACCCGGCAGATTCTTGCCCAACTCATGTGGAGCTCTGGGCAGGCAGGGTACCTTGCCTTTCCCTCACAGGGCCAGTGGTGACCCACTCTGCCCCTGCCCCACCACAGGCAGCAGCAGGGTTGGGCACCCAGGCCTCACCGGCCCCTCCCGGAGAGGTGGTGGCTTGTGGACATCCAGTGGGCCCAGCCTGGTGGGTTGTGGGGGCGCGTTTCCAAGGTGGAGCTGGGGGACGCCTGCTGTGAGCAGCGCCCCTGAAGCTCACTCTCTTCCCCCCAGGCTCTCGCCATAAGCGACCACTTTCCGGTAGAGGTGACCCTCAAGTCTCACCGATGACCTGAGGCCTGGCTGGGATATGCCACCTGCAGACCCTGGCTTTGAGGAATGGCCCCATAGCGGTCCCTTCAGCATGGCAGCCACCCCTCAGTGAGGCCCCAAGGCAAGGTCTGTGGGGCATGGACCAGGGGCCATGGACACATGACCAGCTGCTCCGAGCCTCCGTTCCCCATCTGTGAGATGAGCTGCATCCACCGACCTCATGGGGTGTTGTGAGGAGCCCCACAAGGGGTGCCAGGCCCTGGCCATGCAAAGTCCTTAAGGGACACTCGAGCCCTGGCAGCACAGCCACCTCCAGAGTCCCACTCCTGCCCACTCCGATCCCCCAGTTGCTCCGATTCCCTGTCCACTCTTCAGATGGATAAGGGCAGCAGCCAAAGGGTTTTCTCTGGGGGTCCTGTGTGGGTCATGGGAGCAGACCACCAGGCCTTACACCTACGAGCAGGCAGTCCAAAGGCTGGGGTGGATGACCAGGGACTTGATTTACGATTCTGCCTTGGGAATGGAGACGGAGACACTCAGTTGTGACCTCACCAGGTCCAGAACGGTGCCCCCTGCCAGTCACAATGCCAAGCACACTGCCCCGCAGACATCTGCTCAATAAACGGGCTGCTCCCAGCTGGGCCCTGCAGCTTGGCTCTCAGGCCTCTGTCCTTCCTTAGGAACCAGCCAGTCTGGGACCCGGCCTCAGTCTGCAGCCCCACTTCCCTGAGGGAATGCAGCTCAGGGAGATGGGTTCTGGGCCATGGCCTGGCCTGCCCACCCTGTGTCCTGGTAGAAGCTGGCCACCCTCAGACCCTGCTGGCCCTGGAAGGCAGCTCAGGGATGCTCCTTGCTTGTCCTCTGTGAAAACTAAAAATGCTCCCAGGAGCCTGTACTTACTGTGAGCACAGCTGGGACAGGGATGGTGCTGACACTCCAGCCTCCCAGGCCCTCAGGGGTCTCAAAGAGCTCTCCCCAGGCCCACCCTGCAGCCCCCATTCCAGGGCCCTGCAGGGAACCCCCCGCACTTGTCTGTCTCAGGGGCCTAGTCTCACCCAGCACTGCAAGGGGAGGTTGGCACCACACCCCAGCTGGTCAGCACCACTAGAGCTTTTGGGGAGCCTGAAAGCAGTGGGGGGTGGGGGGGGCTGGACTCTTCTCCCTGCCGAAGCAGGTGGCTAGGGACTAAGGTCCTGTGCAAACTGCACAGCTTGCTGCAGCTCAGACCTTCCAGGGTGCTGCCCTGTGCCCTGGGCAAGGCCACCACACTGACGAACAGGCAGGCCCACGGGTCTACTGGCTCACTGATGGGGCCCGATGAAGTTTCTGGTTTTTGAAACATCACTTCGGACCAGCATGTGGGAACTTGGTCTGAATCACATAGGAGGAAACACATTTGTTTCAGGGCTTTGGATGAGTTTGGTTCTTGCAAAATTGTTTTTTTGTTGTCTCACTGTTGCCCAGGCTGGAGTGCAGTGATGCGATCTCGGCTCACTGCAACCTCCACCTCCTGGGTTCAAGCAATTCTTTGCCTCAGCCTCTTGAGTAGCTGGGATTACAGGAACCCACCACTACGCCCTGCTGATTTTTATATTTTTAGTAGACATGGGGTTTCACCATTTTGGCCAGGATGGTCTTGAACTCCTGACCTTAGGTGATCCACCTGCCTTGGCTCCCAAAGTGCTGGGATTACAGGCATGAGTCACTGCACCTGGCCATGCAAAGTCCTTAAGGGACACTCGAGCCCTGGCAGCACAGCCACCTCCAGAGTCCCACTCCTGCCCACTCCGATCCCCCAGTTGCTCCGATTCCCTGTCCACTCTTCAGATGGATAAGGGCAGCAGCCAAAGGGTTTTCTCTGGGGGTCCTGTGTGGGTCATGGGAGCAGACCACCAGGCCTTACACCTACGAGCAGGCAGTCCAAAGGCTGGGGTGGATGACCAGGGACTTGATTTACGATTCTGCCTTGGGAATGGAGACGGAGACACTCAGTTGTGACCTCACCAGGTCCAGAACGGTGCCCCCTGCCAGTCACAATGCCAAGTCAAAAGGCTGCCCTCCAACCCCCCTTGCCTGCTGGGCACAGGCACCCGTATGTGTGTGTTGCGGGGAAGACGAGGAACAGGGCCTTCTCTGTGAGATCAGCAAAACAAGACGCTGGCAGTACTTGAAAGTTGCAAAATACCTTGTTTAAGATCCCACGGGGACCCAGAGGGGCACGTGTGGCTGTTAGCCTTTCCTTTGTTTGAGCCTCTCTAAGTATAGCTGCAGGGACTTCTGGATGGAGTCTCTGGAGATGAAGCTGACAAAGTTCTGCACATCCTCGTCACGATGTGTGATCAGGCGGCTGGCTGTGGCCTTTCGCATCATGGCCTTGGTCAGCTGTCGGGCGTGTTCTAAAGAAAACAGGGCCCACCACTGAGATCCCACTTTGGGGCAGTGGGGTGACTTCCAACTTATTTATTTATTTATTTATTTTTGAGACGAAGTTTCGCTCGTTACCCAGGCTGGAGTGCAATGGCATGATCTCGGCTCATCGCAACCTCCGCCTCCTGGGTTCAGGCAATTCTCCTGCCTCAGCCTCCTGAGTAGCTGGGATTACAGGCACGTGCCACCATGCCCAGCTAATTTTTTGTATTTTTAGTAGAGACGGGGTTTCACCATGTTGACCAAGATGGTCTTGATCTCTTCACCTCGTGATCCACCTGCCTCGGCCTCCCAAAGTGCTGGGATTACAGGTGTGAGCCACCACGCCCGGCCCCAACTTATTTATTTTTGAGACACAGTGTCCCTCTTGTTGCCCAGGCTGGAGTGCAATGGTGCAATTTCAGCTCACTGCAACCTCTGTCTCCTGGGTTCAAGCGATTCTCCTGCCTCAGCCTCCCAAGTAGCTAGGATTACAGGCGTGTGCCACCACGCCGGTTCATTTTATATTTTTAGTAGAGATGGGGTTTCTCCATGTTAGTCAGGCTGGTCTTGAACTCCTGACCTCAGATGATCCACCTGCCTCAGCCTCCCAAAGTTTTTGGATTATAGGTGTGAGTCACTGCACCTGACCTTATTTTTTATTTTTTGAGATGGAGACTTGCTCTGTCGCACAGGCTGGAGTCCAATGGTGGAATCTTGGCTCACTACAACCTCTGCCTCCTGGGTTCAACTGATTCTCCTGCCTCAGCCTCCTGAGTAGCTGGGATTACAGGTGTATGCCACCACACCCAGCTAATTTTGTATTTTCAGTAGAGATGGGGTTTTCCCATGTTGGCCAGCTTGTCTCAAACTCCTGACCTCAGGTGACCTGCCTGCCTCCCAAAGTGCTGGGATTATTGCAGGCATGAGCTACTGCGCCCAGTCCTATTTTTTTTTATTTTAAAGAGACAGATCTTCTCTGTTGCCCACACTGGACTGTAGTAGGTTGATCATGACTCACTGCACCTTTGAGTTCCTGGGCTCAGGTGATCCTCCCACCTCACCCTCCTGAGTAGGTGGGACTACAGGTATGCACCACGCTGCCTGGCCAATTTTTGTATTTTTTTTTTTTTTTTTTGAGATGGAGTTTCGCTCTTGTTGCCCAGGCTGGAGTGCAATGGCGCGATCTCGGCTCACCGCACCCTCCGCCTCCCGGGTTCAGGCAATTCTCCTGCCCCAGCCTCCTGAGTAGCTGGGATTACAGGCACGCGCCACCATGCCCAGCTAATGTTTTTTTTTGTATTTTTAGTAGAGACGGGGTTTCACCATGTTGACCAGGATGGTCTCGATCTCTTGACCTCGTGATCCACCCGCCTCGGCCTCCCAGAGTGCTGGGATTACAGGTTTGAGCCACCACGCCCGGCCCCAATTTTTGTATTTTTTATAGACAGAGGATGTCTGATGTTGCCCAGGCTGGTCTCCAACTCCTGGGTACAGGTGATCTTCCTGCCTCAGCCTCCCAAAGTGCTGGGATTACAGATGTGAGTCACTGCACCTGGCCCCTCCCACCCTTGCTATCAAAGTTCAAACAGTAACTGGGAGAAAACCCAGAGTTTCTGTCCACTGATGATACCGTAAAGAATGTGTTTTTTTAACGTGTTACTTTCACTCCGTTATATTATGAAGACTATTTCCATGGCACTAAGTATCCTCTGACAGCACAGGAAATGGCAGCATGGCCTTCAGTCATTTGCATCAGGGTTGGCAAATCTGCTCCCCAAGGCCCTGAAGCTATGAATGGTTTTTCCCTTTTTTTTTTTTTTTTTTTTTGAGACAGAGTCTCTCTCTGTTGTCCAGGCTGGAGTGCAGTGGTGTGATCTTGGCTTATTACAACCTCCGCCACCCAGGTCAAGCGATTTCCTTGCCTCAGCCTCCAGGGTAGCTGGGATTACAGGCACCTGCTAATTTTTTTATTTTTAGTAGAGACAGGATTTTGCCATATGGGCAAGGCTGGTCTCAAATTCCTGATCTCAGGTGATCCACCCACCTCAGCCTCTCTAAGTGCTGGGATTACAGGTGTGAGCCACCGTGCCTGGCTTGTTTTTACATTTTTGAATAGTTGAAAAAAGGTTAGTACTTTGTGACAAGTGAAAATTATGTGAAACTCAAATTTCAGTGTCCATAAATTATTTTATTTTATTTTTTTAAAGATGGGGTTTCACCATGATGGCCAGGCTGGACTTGAACTCCTGACCTCAGGTGATCCACCCACCTCAGCTTCCCAAAGTGCTTGGATTACAGGCGTGAGCTACCGTGCCCGGCTAATTTTTTTTTTTTTTTTGAGATGGAGTCTCACTCTGTCACCCAGGCTGGAGTGCAGTGGCACAATCTTGGTTCACTGCAACCTCCACCTCCCAAGTTCAAGTGAGTCTCCTGCCTCAGCCTCCCTAGTAGTTGGGATTACAGGCACGTGCCACCATGCCCACTGATTTTTGTATTTTTAGTTGAGACGAGGTTTTACTGTGTTGGCCAGGATAGTCTTGAACTCCTGACCTCAAGTGATCTGCCCACCTCAGCCTCCCAAAATGCTGGAATTATAGTGTGAGCCACCGTGCCTGGCCCAGTGTCCATAAAGCTTTGTGAGAACACAGCTACACCCGTCAGTTTACGTCTCCCCTGTGGCTGCTTTCTGCTACAAAGGTCTTACCTACAGAGCCCACAAGCCACCTGGCCCTCTAGAGACAGCATGCTGGGCCCGGGTCTATACCGTTGCTGATATGGCCAGCCCTATTTCTATGAAATGGACAATTGTCTTTGTAGTAGGTTGAAAAGTGTACCCCAAAAGACAGGTCCAAGTCCTAAGCACTGCTCTGGAACCTGGAAGGGGGACCTTATTTGGAAAGCGTCTCTGCAGATGTAGTTAAGGTGGGATCATCTTGGATTGTGGGCAGGTCCTAAATCACACTACAGGTGTCCTGAGAAGGGAGAGAGAGATTCGAGATCCGGAGAAAGCCACATAAGGATGGAGGCAGAGACTAGAGCGAGGCGTCCATGAGCGCTGAAGGCCTGGAGCCAGCAGAAGCAGGCCGGGGCAGGATGGGGCCTTCCCTGGAACCTGGGGAGGGAGTGCAGCCCTGCCCACACCCTGATTTTGCACCTCTGGTCTCCAGCACCATGGCATCAACTTGTGTGTCTGGGCCAGCCGGTCTGTGCTGCATTGTTACAGCAGTCTCCTGACACCCACACACTGCGATTACAGACAGTCCCCTGCAGGCATGACATCCACAGAGAACCTTTGCATGGAGAGCCTTCTGGTCTCCCCAGCATCACTGGGCGCTCACCACGCCCTGCGCCTCACCTGGAATGGCCATCCACTGGGCTATCGCCGACAGCGCCATGCTCTGCACCTGCTCCTCCGGCACCACCTGGTCCACTATGCCCACCTGCAGGGCCTGCGCCGGCGGGAAGAGCAGCCCCAGCTGCAGGGCGCGCTCTGCTGCCCGGTGCCCGATGGTGTTCACCAGGGTGTCTTTGAACCTGGAATGCAGGCACCCGCTCACCAGTGGCCCCAGGCTCCCAGGTGTGTCTGTCCCTTCCACAGCAAGTGTGGCATGTGGCTGCAGCCCAGGGCCTTACCAGAAAGGGGCAACAATGCCTAGGAGGGTCTCATTGAGTCCTATGCTGTACTTGGGGTTGTCCGCCAGGACGCGGTGGTCAGAGGTCATAGCTATCAGGCAGCCTCCGGCGGGGCAGGCTCCCTACAGGGAGAGGCGAGATGGGGCTCTTAGGTGCTGCTGGTTCCAACTGCGTTCCAGAGGGCCGAGTCCAAGGATGCCAAGGAGGGCTGTGCCCTTGGGGCGTCTCTACCCCCCTAGGGCCCTGCAGCAACACAGTCTGGGCTAGGTGTGCACTTGGAAACGGATGGGGAAGGAACTGGCCGTTTAGGGCTTCACAAGGAGGGTCTGAGGCTCATCCTCAGCCAAGGGTCATTAGCTCTTAGGGGACAGAAAAATCACTTTTTAAAACCTTTCAGTTAGGGGAGCAAGTTGCTTGTCCTCTCAGAGGTTTTACTCAATGCTAAAATGCCACACAAGCATTTAGCCACAGCTGTCATGCCCCGAGGGGGTCCCGTTACCATCCCCAGCAGCCAGCACCACCAGGATGTCCTGGGAACCCCACACTCACCCTGCTGTCACTGCAGACACCCACTGCCCCACATGGGACCTCACATCTGTCTGCAGCACCCTCTAGGCCTCCTCTCACACCAGCCCTCCCCTCCGCCAGGCTCCACCCACACCCAGCTTGTCACAGCCACCCTGAAGGACACCCTGGTTCCCGAGGTTGAGCCCCCACATTGTTCTCAGCCTCCCCCGCGGAAGGGATGGAGTGATGTTTCCAAAATGTGGGTGTGATCAACCACTTACCCGCACAGCTTCCACCTGGGCTGGTGTCAACCCCAGGCCCTGGTCCCCACCCCCTGGCTCTTTTCTGGGATTTGTCTGACCCAGGCCAGGCCCCTCACCTGAGGCCCACCTTCCCCTTTTCAACACGCCATGCGGTCTGCAATGGTGCACTCACCTGTGCACGCCTCAGGGTCTCCCCCACTGATCCTTTCCCCTAGGACAAAGGGTATCCCCCACTGTAGAGAGCAGGACAGTGTCAGTTCCGTCCCCTGGGGCTGGCCCAGGAGAGCCAGCAAGGCCACCTGGGAGTGGGGACACTCACGTTGATGGCAGTGACTAGCACCAGGCTGGACTGGTAGAACTGCAGCCACAGCTCCTGCACGGCCTTCCAGTACTCGGCGTAGTGGGCGGGGCTCCTCCCACACATCTCCTTCAGGTCCAGGCCAGCCGAGAACACACCAGGGCAGTCCTGCAGGGGAGCCCGGGGCAATGCCTGTCAAAGTCCAGCTGGCCTCACAGCAGCAGGGCCAGAAGCCCAGGTGCCCAAGGCACAGCAGGGCCAGGTCATGCTCAGGGTGGTGGTTGCTGCCCCCATGGAGCCAGGACTGGGTGGTCTAGGGACTTGGCTTAGGCCTCTGCAGGGCCTGGTTTCCCTGTGCTTCCCAGAACATCCTTCCCTCTCCCAGTTCAAGCTGGACAGGAGACGACAAGCAGGGTCAGGCACCGCCCCGGGGACACGAGTGCGCCGGCCCTCTGGCTCTGCACGCGCGGCTCGGGCAGAGAAACCTAGAGGTGCGGTGAAGACTCCTGAGAGTCCAGAGGGGGTGCACGTTCTCAATCATTCACCCACAAAGGGCCAAGCAAGCCGTGGAATCCCATGTGGACCAGCAGGGTGGGAGAATGGCCTGCAAGGTGTGGGTTCTTTAGCAGCTACCAAGAAAGGGCGAGGGGTGAGCACAGGTGGAAAGGACCCTCCCACGGCTAGAGTAGCGGGTGCCAGCACAGGAGCCTGGGACACCCAGTCAGGGCTGCTGGCCAGGGATGCAGGCTCAGGGAGGAGTGCAAAATCCACCCAGGGGCCCCTGCATGGTCACCGCCCCCTGAGCAAACGACAAAGGCGCCTTCCCCTCAGCACAGCACATTCTCCTCCTGAAGCTGTGAGTGGACTTGTTCCTGCAGCTGGACCCAGCTCACCCTGACTTACAAGCAGAGCTGGGCGGATGTTTACCCCACACTGTATGCAGGAAGGAGGACAACAACCACCTAATGTGTGTGAGGAGGAGGGGCAGGGACAGATGGGATGCCCTCCACATGGATCCTTAGGTCATGTGAAAAAGCCAGGAGCAGCGCGGGTCTGCAACACAGCTCCGCCGTTCTCAGATGACATGAGCTGGTGCCGTGCAGAACGGGTAAGCCGGTCCGTTTCTGCAAAATGCATTCTACTTCTGTCACTCAAGACCCAGGCCCGGCTAGTGGCTCATGCTTGTAATCCCAGAGTTTTGGGAGGTCAAGATGGGGGGACTGCTTGAGGCCAGGAGCTCCAGACAAGCCTGGGCAACATAGCAAGACCCCATCTGTACAAAAAAGTAAAAACTGAGCAAAAAAAATTGACAAAGTACAACGGCTCACGCCTGTAATCCTAGCAAACTGGGAGGCTGAGATGGGAGGAGTGCTTGAGCCCAGGAGTTCAAGACCAACTTGGGCAACACAGTGAGATACTGTCTCTACCAGAAACTTAAAAATTTTTAAAATTCTTCAACATTCAAGAATCATCTGAACCCAGGAGGCGGAGGTTGCAGTAAGCCAAGATCACGTCACTGCACTCCAGCCTGGGCATCAGAGGGAGATTCCATCTCAATAAATACGTAGGGCCAGATGCGGTGGCTCATGCCTATAATCCCTGCACTTGGGGAGGCTGAGGCAGGTGGATCACTTGAGGTCAGGAGTTCCAGGCCAGGCCCTGTAAAGCCACCCAAGCCTCCAAGGATGCCTCACTCCCCTCACTTCTACCATGGTCCACGTCCCCTCAGGGTTCCCATCCTCCGGGGCCTGAAAAGACCCTCCCTGCTTATTGCCCCTCCGTGACCTTGGTAATGAAGCTGTTCCCACAGATGCCACACCTCGTGTTTGCCAGCACTTAGGCAACGCCCAGAGTCCCCTGCACAGGAGCTTAGACCAAGGAGGTTCACCCCTCTGAGAACTCGGCCTAAAGACCAGCCCACAGAGGACCAGACAGCATGGGCACTGTTCACGGGACTGGCTTGGGGCACGCAGGTCACACTAGTGGGGAGCACCCAAGGACCCCACAGACGCATGGCTCCCCTCACCCGCTCCCCGTAGCTCTCCCCAGTGCCCGCCTGGACGATGCCTGGGCCAGGAAGGCTGTCTCCAAGGCTGGTCCACCTTCACTGTCAGGAATGATCTGCTTGAGGCCCGTGAGTTTGGGTCCCTGCTGGAAGCCTCCTGTGGAGGCCCCTGGAGTCCAGGTTGGTGGGGCTGCTGGGCCGTCCCTCGCCACACGTGGGCAGGCTCTGCCTCTTCCCACCTGCAACAGGCCTGTGCTCCGATCAGAGAACTGGGGCCAAGAGCTCACGCGGGGTTGGGGAGCTGAAGTGGCACCTACCGAGGTCATGATGACACCGCGGAAGCTCTTGTCATTCTCCAGCTTCTCCAGGCTGATGACCAGCTCTGTCAGAAATTCCAGGCTGAGCCTGTTCACTGGGGGGTTGTTGAGTCTCATCACAGCGACCCCTAATTTAAAGAAGGAAGAAAGAGAAAGCTCACATCCGGCACTGGAAAAGTAACCTGACCAGCCTGCACCCTCAAAGCCATGGTAGCTGTGTGTTTTGGGTGTTTTTTATTTTTTATTAACCATTACTTTTGGCACAGGGTCTTGCTCTATTGCCCAGGCTGCAATGCAGGGGCATGATCTCAGTTCACTGAACCTTAGACCTCCTGGGCTCCAGTGATCCTCCCACCGCTGAGTAGCTGGGATTACAGGCACGTACCACTACGCCCAGTTAATTAAAAAAAATTTTCGGTGGCTCAAGCCTGTAATCCCAGCACTTTGGGAGGCCGAGGTGGGTGGATCACGAGGTCAAGAGATCGAGACCATCCTGGTCAACACGGTGAAACCCCGTCTCTACTAAAACTACAAAAAATTAGCTGGGCATGGTGGCGCGAGCCTGTAATCCCAGCTACTCAGGAGGCTGAGGCAGGAGAATTGCCTGAACCCAGGAGGCGGAGGTTGCGATGAGTCGAGATCGCACCATTGCACTCCAGCCTGGGTAACAAGAGCGAAACTCCGTCTCAAAAAAAAAAAAAAAAAAAATTTTTTTTGAGGTGCAGTCTTGTCTGTTACCAGGTGCAATCTCAGCTCCTTGCAACCTCCGCCTCCTGGGTTCTGGCAATTCTTCTGCCTCAGCCTCCGGGGTAGCTAAAACTACAGGTGTGCACCACCACAACCAGCTAATACTATATTTTCAGTAGAGATGGGGTTTCACCAGGTTGGCCAGGATGGTCTCGATCTGTTGACATTGTGATCTGCCCACCTCAGCCTCCCAAAGTGCTGGGATTACAGATGTGAGCCACTGTGCCCAGCAATTTATTTATTTTTAGGGGAGATGAAGTCTCATTTTGTTGCCTAGGCTGGTCTGCAACTCCTGAACTCAAGCAGTCCTCAGGCTCCCAAAGTGCTGGATTGCAGGAGTGAGCCTGAGGTTTTTTAAAACTGAAGTAAGATCCATATAATAAAAGTTAACCATTTTGTTTATTCTATAGAAACTGCATGCTTTTTAAATGAACCATTTTATTTTTGGACAAGGAGTCTTTTTTTTTTTTTGAGACGGAGTTTCACTCTTGTTACCCAGGCTGGAGTGCAATGGCGCGATCTCGGCTCACCGCAACCTCCGCCTCCTGGGTTCAGGCAATTCTCCTGCCTCAGCCTCCTGAGTAGCTGGGACTACAGGCACGCGCCACCATGCCCAGCTAATTTTTTGTAGTTTTAGTAGAGACGGGGTTTCACCATGTTGACCAGGATGGTCTCGATCTCTTGACCTCGTGATCCACCCGCCTCGGCCTCCCAAAGTGCTGGGATTACAGGCGTGAGCCACCTCGCCCGGCCTAAGGAGTCTTTTTTTAAATTTTTATTTTATTTCATTTATTTTTTATTTTTTAAAAAAGACATTTGACTTAAAAAAAGATTTTTTCTTTTTTTTTTTTTTGAGACGGAGTTTCACTCATGTTACCCA